TGCATGCATCACACATTAAGTGCATCTTCTTTCTTCTAGGCTCGCTTCCCTCTCACTCTCCCAGCACCCTTCTCAGTGTCTAAAATCTCTTGTAATTTTTTTCTTCTTTTCTCTTCCCTTCATACTTCCTTAAGTTCCAGTGACCGCTAATGCCTAATGTCTTTCTAAAGTATTGGTTTATTGGTATTCATAAATGAATGAGAACATGTTTTTGATTTCTTGTGCCTACCTTGTTTCATTTAATGTAATGTTTTTCATTTTGATCATGATGTTGCAAATGATAGAATTTCATTTTTGATGGCTGAATATGACTGTTTGATTTCTTTACCGACCATTCCCTGTAAAATATCTCTGTTGAGTCCGTGTTTCAGCTTCCATGAAGAATTCTGTAATGAAAGCTGTCTTTCTGGAATAGAGTTGTTCTCTCCCTGAGCAATACATGCAGCACTGGGCTTGCTGGAAAGTAAGTTAGTTGTATGTTCATTATTTAAAAGTGGCAGTCCATACCATTTTCCACATTGGCTGTTCTAATGTGCATTCCTACCAAAAAAGGATGCAAAAAGTTCTCATTTTTCCTCATCTTTTCAGGCAATTATATTTTGTTATCTTTTTTTTTTTTTTTTTTTTTTTTTTTTTGATAACCGTTGTGACTAGGGTGAATGACATCTCATGGTTTGGATTTGCATTCCTCTGATAAACAATGAAGTTTGGTAGTTTTCCAGTGCTCATTATTTTTATGAATTATTTTGAGAAGAGTTTTTATTTCTTTAGGTCATTTAAAAATTAAATTGTTGTTTTCATATTCAATCTTAGGAATTCTTTATGCTTTGCTTGTTTGCTTTTTAGAAGTATCATTTTAAAACATTTTCTTTTATTTTTTGTATATTTATCTTCTGATTTCCTTTGCTTATGAGAACCTTCTTGTCTTGATATAATCCTTTTATATATATTTAATTTTTAGCAGTACTTCTCATGTTCAATCTAAAAAAAAACTCATTGCCAACACTAATGGTTTGAACTATTTTCCCAATATTTCCTTCTTTAAAGTTTCGGATTTAAATTTGAATTAGTGATTTTCTTTCATGTTCTAAATGTAGGCCTTTGATCCAGTGTGGGTCAAAGTTTGTAGACAGTGAAAGAAGTAGACTTTTACTCTTATGCAGTACATATGTAAATTTGCCAGCATGATTGTTTTTGAAGAGTCTGACCTTTCTTTGATGTACATTATCAAGTCAACAACTGTGATTCATCCAGCCTTATATTTTGCTCAGAACTGCTTCAGTATTCTAGCCTTTCCCACTTTCATGTGACTTTTAAAACTGATAGTTCTGTATTTGTGAAGTTATTGCAGTTTTGGTGGGAAGTGCCTTGAGTCTGTAAGGTCACTTTAGGTAGTATATTCATTTTATCAATATTGTTTCTTCCAATCCATGAACATTAAATAGTTTTTCAAATTTATGCCCTCTAAAATATATCTTGTTAGTTTTGCATAGGTATATTCCAAAGATCAATCACTTCCACAGTTAGATTTATTCCTTAGTTTCCTTCCTAGCTTCTTTTTCAAAAAGTCCCATCATTTGTGCATGAGACTTGTGCATTTATTCTTCTATGTTAATTTATATTGTGGTATTTCAGTGAAATTGCTATATTCTAAGAATGTTTATGAATTATTCATGTTTTAATGAATACAAACATTCAGTGCTTAAACATAGATAATTTAAATTCATCTTTTAAAATGTGGATGCTCTTTTATCTCTACTTCATTGCTTTACTACAAAATTCAATATTATTTTAAGTAAGAGTGGTGAAAGTATACATCATTTTTTTGGTTTCCCATCTTAGAGAAAATAGTTTCTGTTTGTTTTTTAATTTTTTTTATTTTAAAGAGATAGAGACAAAAGAGGACAGAACAAAGCAGATCAACTATGAATTTCATTTACACATTCAAAACACAATACTTTCATAGAACTTTTATATTCTTTTTAAGTTTTGATTTTATTTGTTCTCTGATGTTTACTATTTCTTTTGCTCTTCTAAGTTTTGGTATGGTTTGTTTTTGCTTTTGTAACCTGAAAATTGTAGTGTTAGCTCATTTTTTGAGGCCTTTCTGGGCTTTTTCATCTATTTATTGATTGCTAGGTCACAGTCCTGATTTTGTTGTGTCCCACAGATATTGATGTGCAGTATGGTGATTTTCATTAATTTCCCTCACAAACATCTATTTTGATTGTATCTGAGGTCCTCTGAGATTCTTGGAGCTAAGCATATATATATCCTTGAAGATTTGGAAAGTTTTCAACCAATATTTCATGAAACAAATTTTCTATTCCTTTTCATTCTTCATTGGTTTCTGGAATTCTCATAAGTTGTATATTTGGTCATTTGTGTGTGTCCCATGAATCTAGTAGGCTTTTTCTCTCTATTAAATTTTTCTTTCATTTATTTTCTTGTTGTTTTGACATTTTTTGTCTGCTTCAGTTAATTTGTTGAATTGGTTCTAACATTTCTAAATTCTTACTTTCTCTTGTTTTCTTTACTGTCAAAAGTCTTTATAGTGTCTTTCATTTAGTTCATATTTCTAACGTTTTTTTTCATTGGGTCTGTCTTATTTCAGTTTGTTACTATATACTGAATATATGTATGGCACTGTTATAAAAAGCATATAATTTTGTATTTCTCTGTCTTATTTATTTACATTATCTTGTACTACACTGTACTTAATACCATTGTTCTAAATTGTTTTTAACTGTCACAGAGATTTCTTTCAAGTGATCCATTTATGGAAAACTATTGTTCTCCTTGTAAAACCGTTTTGTTCATGTGTCTGCATCCTTATGTCCTTTTCTGCATACCTGGTGTGACATTTGCTTCTTCTTGCTTTAGGAATTGGAATCCTACAGCTAAATAAGGATAATAAGGCTTTTGTTGGTCCACAGAAACAAACTTAAGTGATATCAAGATTTTTGTGCCTGTGGCTGCAGTCTGAAGGTTGTGGACTGATCAGGGGGCCCTTACCTAGATACAGACAGACTAGTGGTGCTGGTTGTTGCATTCACAGAATAATGGAACAGAGCAAGGATTTCTCCAAGGTTCTTATGGACAGGGGCAACGAAAACAAAGAACTTGGTTACATTGTCTACTACCTGCTGGCTGAGGGCTGAGGACAACTCTAACAGATCATTCCAGGGCAATTTAGATACTTACAGTGTATCAGAGACATTGACTTGACCTGGAGTTTTTCTAGCTCTAGATATTTGATGCAGGCAAACCTTGGAACTTGTCACTGATTATCTGACCATCACATTAGTATATAAATATTTGTAGACAGGATTGTGGAGAGAATTTGAAAGAAATAATACTTCCCCAAATGACATACTGTGAGCCCAATTGTGATTATTCAGTGAATTAAAGGTAAAGACAATGTTGTCATTAAATAAATGTTAATGTTTTGATCTCAGTTCTTCTTTGGAAGTGAGGAATTGAAAGCACCAAGTGGCTCGGGTGCTTTTAAAATTGCAGAGAGTTTTAGAAAACATTTAACTCTCACTATAAGAATTCAAATTTCTTTTAATATAGTTTAGATTTTTTTGTAGGTGCTATGAATGTTAATTAACTTGGTCATTTATTTTTCAGAGCTAATGATGAAAATAGTCAATTAGTGTCTTTCTATCCCCAAGGTCCTTAATCAAGTATGAGCAAATAAGTGCTTATTAAAGAACAAATATTATTTATGGTGAAGCAGAACTAAAAAGTTTTTATTGAAGAAAAAGAGAAACACTCATTAGTGACTATGATTTTTAAAAAGGAAATAAAACAAACACTACAACTTGTTACTAATAAGTAACTTAGCTCTCCTGAGTAAATTAGATTGAATTCTGATAATCCACACCTAATATGTGGCGAAATTTTTAAAAATGAGTTTTAAAGTGCCACATTTATTCTGTTTGGGAGGGGAGAGAGACTGAGACAGAGACAGAGACCGAGACCCAGAAAAAAAGAATGAGAAGGAGAGAAAGAGGAAGAGGAAGGACAAGAGAAACTGAAAGTGAAGTAAACAAGAAATTTTCCAAGAGTGAGGTGCCTACAGAAGATGTATGGTTTAGAAAGAACCATATATTGTTCAACAATCAGTCATGGAAAATTCAATGATTTTGCATATTTTTCTAGCAAAAAAAAGTTTCAAAATGCAACAAAAAACACCTCTGTGAAATGCAAAAAAGTAAGTATTTTTAGTATTTGTTGCTTTGATATTAAGATCTTACAAATTAATAGACTCAAACTTTAGAGAAAATAAATTGAGAATTGGACTAACAAAATATTTGGGGAACTCACATTGAAGATGAAATGTACATAGCTGCATTCTTCTAGAATAGAAACATCTAGAATAGAAACATAAACAGTACCTCTATTAAGCTTTTATCAAAACTTGAGGATGCATATTTTTTATATTTATTAAAGGTTAGAATAATTTAATTTACTAATGGTACATTATTTCTTATATTTGAAAAGCTGCTCATAAAGTTAAAGTAGATGAATAAATGAGTAATGAATTCCAAATTCCATATAATAATTTCAACTTGATGTTTACATACTGATTTTGAGATTTGAGAACTTTTGAAACCTAAAATGTATTTTGCTTTCTTTTGTGTTGAAAAAAAATCAAATTGCTGGAATAAAGAGTCCCCAAAATAATTATAAATGTTTAAATTAGAAATAGTAGAAATAAAAATGGCAAGAAATAACAAAGCCATTGTTTCTAAAGGTAGAAAATTTCAAAAGTAGCATTAGCGAAATAAGTATGCAGAAAACAAAAAACCATAAGTGGCACTGAAGACTGGGGTTTCCACTGCTAGCTAAAATGATAGAAGGGAAAAAATATCAATTTGATTTGTGGTTCTTGTTTGCCCATAACAACTTCAAGTCTATGACAAAAAATCCCTTTAAAACAGAGATGATTTAATTTATCCCCAGGAAAGATGGAATTTAGAAAGAATTTGACCATGACAAACCATACAATGATGACCACATTCATTCTTCTAGGACTCACAGAGGATCCAAACTGGCAAATTGTAATTTTTCTTTTTCTATTAATAACATATTTATTGAGTGTCACTGGGAATCTTATCATTATCCTTCTCACCTTGCTGGATCACAACCTCAAAACACCCATGTATTTCTTCCTTCGAAATTTTTCTTTCTTAGAACTCTCACTGACAACTGCCTGTGTCCCTAGATATCTCATCAGCATAGTAACTAAAGATAAAACTATCTCCTATGACGCGTGTTTGACACAATTATTCTTTGCCCTTTTCTTTGGTATATCAGAGTTTTTCTTGTTAGCTGTCATGTCTTATGACCGCTATGTGGCCATCTGCAAGCCCCTTCATTATACCACCATTATGAGCCACAGAGTATGCTATGAGCTCTTGTTTGCCTGTTGTTTCCTTGCTGTGTTAAGCATAATTCCTGGAGCTGTCGTGAGTCAGACTGTGGAATACTGTGATACACATATTGATCACTTTTTCTGTGACTACTCTCCTCTTCTGAAAATCTCCTCTACAGACACAAGGATCATGGAATATGCAAATTTTATTTTAGCAATTTGCACGCTTCTGATTACTTTGACACTGGTAATATCATCTTATGCAAACATCATAAGAACAATTCTGAAGATCCCTTCTACCCAGCAGCGGAAAAAGGCTTTTTCTACCTGTTCCTCACACATGATTGTTGTTTCCATCTCTTATGGAAGCTGTATCTTTATGTATATTAAACCTTCTGCTGAGGAAAGAGTGTCTTTCAACAAGGGTGTTGCAGTACTCACAATTTCAGTTGCACCTGTTTTGAATCCTTTTATATACACCCTAAGAAATAAGCAAGTGAAACAAGCAGTGAAAGACTTAATTAAAAAATGTGTCCTTAATACTTTGAAACGATAGCTTTGATTTTTATAATAGTGTACCACTAAAAATTGAAAATTTCTATTGGCTACCTTTCAACATCTTCCTTTATTTTTATATTGTCATAATAAGAACTCATTCATAAACATCTATTCAGTGTCCTCCTCAAATTTTAGCCTTTTAACTATATTACCTGCATCTTTGGTTGTTTCTCATGCCGTCAACCATCATTAATACTCTCAATGTAACTCTCTGATATTTTATATGCTGACAATATTCATTATGAATGCATTTTAGAAATCTCATATATATCTATAGGTTCTAATACAAATATATCCAGAATACACATCTTTCATTATCCTGAAAAATAGTATTAATTTATTTCAATGTATAAAGTTTGAGAAGTGATATTTTCTTCCATCACATATTATTAATCTTTCACAAATATGGATTATGTTTCTAGCAAACCTTTCTCTTTTTCTTATTTTTGAGATTGCTGGGTGATAGCTGTTCTCCATATATATATATTTTTTTCTTTTTCCAGTTTTCATGCATATGCCATGTACTTTTATATGAATTTTCAGGATAATAGGTAAAATGGATGCATATGTACTTGCTTTGAAGCTAAAACTTCCTATTATTATTTCTATAAACATTTTCCCTTCTTTTTAAGCTGAGACTCTAATAAAACAAGTTGCATCATTAAAACTGTAAGATACAATTTTAGAGATTTATTTCTGAATACAATGGCCACTCTAAATGTCCAAGTTTAAATTACTGCTGCATAACTTCACATAGTAAATCTTCTGTTTAGATACTAGTACTATGTAAATGGGAATAATGCACTGCCTCATTCATAAAAACATCATAAAGTTAGGTTTTATTCACTTGTGATAAATTGAAACAATATTTTAAGTTTTTTTTGTTTTTACAGTAAAATCCATAAAAGTTTAGAAATACACGCTTTCTTTGGCAATGAATGACGAAACTAAAATCTGAAGCAATAAAATATCATTTTTGAAGTTATATTTTACCGCATAAATTGTTAAAAGGAATTGTAAAACATTCCAATTTGTACTTTCTCATCCCTACTTGGAAATAATTAGTTTCTTGGTGCACTACAGAAAAGGAACACGATGGGGAATGTCATATGAAATTGTAAGTTCCAGGCTAATTGTTATGAGAGTAAAATAAATGAATACTGATATCAGATTCACTCCAAGCAAACCCCACTAATAGATTATTTATCTCCCCGAAATACTTAACTTTTAGGCCCCATACATCTGAGTTACCGATGTAGATTCTGTTCCAACGAAAAGCGGATCAAAGTTAGAAGTGGGGAGGAAGTGAAGGGAGAAGGAGAAAAGAAATTAAGATGTATTGTGTGCATGTAGCAACTCCCCATAAGGAATGTAATTATTATGTAACACAAACATGGACAGTGCTAATAAAAACATACCCTGAACAAGTTCAAACTAAGTGTTCATTCTTCTTTTTTTGGACTAGGAATCTAACTCAGGACCTTGTGCTTGCCAGGCAGGCACTTGTGCCTCCGAGCTATATCTTTAGCCCTTGTATTCATTCTTAAATAAATGTATATTTATTTATTTATTCAGTAAATATTTATTAGTCATTTTTGAAGCTAGAAATACAATGTGAGTATGCTCAAACAAAAATAATACTTTATAATTTATTAAAATATTATGGCATATATAATGTCAGTATTTTTCTTATAAACACTTGTTCATATGATTGAAGCTTTCTGGTTTTTAGTATAATTACTTTAGTGAAATTTAAATTATAAAACATGAGGTGAACTTTTCAGTAATTATATAGTGAAATAAATTTGTGAAATACCTAGTTAACCAGAAAGTGGAATAATCTGGTAATATATACCACAAGTATGATAAATAAATATATCTTATTATATTGCTACAGTGTATGCATAGCTTAACTTTTGATAAACTGATGAAGAGAAGATTATCAAAAAACAACTGTATCTCATTTTCAATATTTTTCTGGAAAGAATCTTGACCAAACATTGCTTTACGTAATTACACTTAAATAATTTTAGATAATTATGTGGATTTATTTCACCTAAAAATCACAGGAGAAAAGAACCACTAAACTCACAATGCCCTAAGGAACGCATGCCTCACTTGAAGCATTTTTTAATAATGTAACATGGGAGGTACACTTGAGAAAAGTAAGAATGACTGAAAAATAAAGGGCTCACTTTAGCTGAAAGATTTAGAAGACTAACGGACATGTCTCGCACTTTCATGAAAAAATAGATAATTAGTAAGTTACAAATGAATAACTTTTCCTAACGTTCATGAAAGAATAGAAGCATCACCTTCACTAATTCTAAAGACAGTAGGTGTTGGCAAGAGGAAACAGGTTCAAATTAGTTGCCTATTTGACAAAAAATTCCTAACAGTTTAAAAGTCTAAAAAGAGAAGAAACATTTATTTAGAAAGAACGTATCAAATGGTTTTACATGGTAAAAGAATAAAAACAGAAAAAACTAATCTGCTGGAAGACAAAGGAGTCAGGCATAGGTAGAGACATAGGAATAGGTAGAGAATTCAACAAAAATCAAACTGCAAGGGAAATACTTCCTAAGGCAACAACTGGGATTTCATCTTACTAGAAAGTTTTAGCCTGTCAAGAGGTGTCTCCACAGAGTGAAAAGAAAACCCAGGAATTGGGAAAAAAATCGTAGTCAACTGTTCCTCAGACAAAGGACTTCTATCCAGAAAATATAAAGAATTTTAAAAAGGTAGGCCCCAAAATTCAAAGACCCAATCCCCAAAATGGGCATCTGAGATGAAAACACATATCTCAGATGTACAAATACAAATGACAAATAAGTACATGAAAAAATATTCAGCATCATTTGTCATTAGGGAAATGCAAATTAACACAAAACTGAGATTCCATCTCACTCCAGAAAGACTAGCCAGGATCAACAAAACCACTAATAACAAATTCTGGAGAGGCTATGGGGGAAAAGGCAGACTTCTGCATTGTTGATGGGAGTCTACACTGGTGCAATCATTGTGGAAATCAGTGTTGAGATTCCTGAAAATACCCAAAAGTACTGAAATCAGTGATATATATGCACCCATGTTTATAGAAGTACAATTTGTAACTGCTAAACCTTGGAAACAATCCAAATGTCCATAAACTGAAGAATAGATTACAAAGATGCGGTTTTTTTATACAATGGAGTACTGCTCAACTATAAAGAAAGACTACCTTGAGGTTTTTAATAAGTAAATGGATGCTACTTGATACCACACTGATAAGGGAAATAAATCAAACATACATACGTAAATACCATATTGTCTCCTTAGTGTAAGAAACTGAAAGAGTAAGTAAGAGACCAAATCTTCAATAAATAATGTGAAAGGATAAGAAACTGCTCAAAAAGGAAAAATAACTCAGACAGGGAAAAGGAGAAAAAAAAAGGAAAAGAGAAGAAAAGTGATATAAGTTTTTATATATAAACATAATATTACTAAGATACTTATACCATTAATTCTATTAGTTTTTGGAACAAAACGGATAACAGCTGTAAGATTAGATCAATTTTGTATGACTATTCCTGGTAATTCAAAAAATACTTATGAAGATAACTAGGCAAAATAACAAAAATTGTTATCTTCCTACCAACAGTTTTGAAAGCCTTCACTGTTATTGTTTTGGCCTCTTAGATATAGTTATTTATTTGTTGTTTGTTTTTACTTCTAATGCAGAAAGGAGAGATGTACGTGTATAGGTTTAGGCTTGCCTAGAACATCACCTAAAGGGTTTATAAGAACTGATTTGAGTATGTGTGACAGTATGAACAACTACACAGAAAAAACAAGACATCGTGGAGCCATGGATGATTTCCCATCCTTTTTATTCAAAAGCCAATAATGCTTTTATTCTTCATCTTGGTTCTGAATGGTTCTAGTCTGTTTTCTATTATTTGATTTCAGTATATATGAAGATATGGGGAGCTATTTTGAAAAAAAACAAGAGAAATTATGTTAGCCATTACTGATTTCCTATTGTCTGGTCTCGAGAGCCCTTAAGGCTCTCATTCTTGTGTTTTGATTGCTTTTATACTATTTTGATGTGCATGGACATTTGAAGGTATGGACAACTATTTTGAAGAAAATAAGAGTAGCCAGTGTTGACTTTCCTGATGTCTTTTTCTGAAATTCTGTGTTATTTGCATTGTTTTACTCTGCTCTGCTTTGTTCTGTTTTGTTTTGGTTTGCTATGGGTTTTTAAAAATTCTCTTTAAAATAAAAAATTATATCAAAATGTGACTATTAGAAACAATCTTAATCTCAAACTCTATAACACCTATAAAACACCATTCTTTAAAAAGAATAAAACCATACAAAAGCAGTAAACAGTTTAGGATATCATCGATGAGTCAACATTTTCAGAGCTATTTGGGCAAACAGTCCCTTTCCAAAACACCTGGCATGAACTCGGGGCTCAGCATTAGCAAATTAAATGAAAAGAATGGGCTCCAGAGCAAGCACAGGTGCAGTTCGTAGAGGATGAGTCATGAAGGAGGCACTGGGGCCTGCAGGAAATAACAGAGTGTTGCTTGCAGTAGCTTCTGGAATTAAAGCCAAAAATCTTAAACATATATTATAATAATAAATTCTGGAATTCATAGTGAAGATACAAGACATACACCAAATAAGATGCCAATGTTTATGATATAAAAATTACTGATGGAAAAAAAGACCTAGAAATGCATTAGAAGACATTGACTCACAGAAGTGTTTATGAGGAAAATTCTTTTTAGAGTTGCTTGATGATAACATTTAAATTTTGCTTGGTGCTAAAAGTGAAAACTCATTGATGAGTGTTTAAAACTAAACTCTGAAGTTCTTGTTAAGTGCCATCCTCATTATCAGGCCATGTAAGTGGAAAAATGTTATTGTGACAAATGGGATCATAATGGAAAAATAGAAAATGAAAACGCTCATGGAAAGCATGTAGACTACAACTATAGGTGGAAAAAC